GGAAAGGCTGAGAGACCTGGCTCTGTTCAGCCTGGAGAAGACTGAAGGGAGATCTTATCAATGCCTATATATGTCTACAGGGCAGGAATCAAGAGGATAGGGTCAGTCCCTTTTCAGTGGTGCCCAGTGACAGAAAAGGGGGTAATGGGCTAAAACAGTAACACAAGAAGATCCACAGGGAAAACGTCTTTACTGTGAGGGTGACAGTGCACTGGAACAAGCCGCTCAGAGGTGCTGTGGAGTCTCCTCTGGAGATATTCTAAACTCTCCCTAGCACTCTTCTATGTAACCTACTCTGGGGAATCTGCTTTAGCACTGGACTAGATCATCTGCGGAGGTCTCTTCCAACCCCTGTGATCCCATGAGAAGAGAAAGCAAAGAAAAAAGGGAATGGATGAATGTATTGATTTTCATCCACTTCTTGAAGGAAAAGTAACAGATTTCACCTTTTTCAAAAAGTGAAAAGTTTGTATAGGGAGCAACACATCAAAAGACTCCTTTTCATACACTGATTTTCAAACACTTATGAAAGTACTCAGAATCCACTGAAGCAAGAAAAGAATTCCTACAGATTTGTGCATACATAATGAACTCAGAACAGCTAAAAAAGATTTACACATCAAAACTCTCCCAAGCTAGAGTTCAGCAATAAAAATAAAAAGCTAAATGAAATCAAGCTATCAAACAAAAAAGAAAGACAAAGAGGCCCTTTATCACTTCCAGCACTCACTGTAACTAGATTTTCTGTAACAGAAACAGTATGCGTATAGACACATACTTAGTGGATAGGGCACAGTACAAATCACTAAAACTTCAAGTAGGCATCATCTTCCACATTTCTGCTTTTAATACTATCTGGTATATCTATAAGACCTTAAGACGTTGAAAATGGAGATAGAGTTTGATGGGCCAGCCCTTAAACGTTTGATGGTTAATGTGTTCTGACGTATATAACCCAAACATATTTGTGTGGTACCTTGAGTCATTACAGAGATTCAAGCATAAGTCTAGCTAGCACAATTTGCAAAAGTATAAATGCTAAAGAGTTTAGAATTTCTTTCTTTTTTTTTTTTTTTTTTTTTTTTTTTTTTTTTTTATTTTTTT